AATATAACATCACATATCCCTACCACATATATATACCCTTATATATATTTTTGTGAAAAATCTCCTTGTACCAGTTGCTACCAGTAACTTTGATTTCAGAAATATTTTGCCGAGTTGGTAATTTTCGGTGTTTCCTGATAGTTGGCATTTTTATAATAGGTATATTTATTCAAATACTTTTTCTATATAATATATAAAAAATAAATATATATAATCCAAAATTAACTTACAGATAATTTTTTAATTCGTTTTCCCATTCCTCATCCGGTTCTGAGAAATCATCGTCTTCTGCAAGTTCACAGTCTTTTATATTTACAAGAGACTCATCCTGCAAGACTGTTTTATAATTTTCTGGAGGGGAAACAATTATCTGTCCTCTCTTATTGAGGTACTCAGCTATCTTGGATGCAATTTCTTGGTTACCAAGACCTTTTAATTGACCTTGATTTCTAAATAATTGGACAAACATACGAAGTCTGTAATGCCATGGATCTTTTTTGTAGTCATAACATTCATTATTTGAGAGGTCTTCTATTTCACAAATAAAGCACTGCCAATCAAAATCTTCAGGATCATTACCGCAAGATTCCCAAATTGATTTCGCACTTTTATACATATCTTCGAAATAGGCTTCTTTATATGTAATGGGTTCAGGTGTGGAAATACTGTTATTATTAGTATTGGAAGGGCCAGGAATTCCACATGGCTCTGTATCATTTTCCTCAGACTCTATTTTCTCAGAAATCTCAGGAGTCTTCAATTTCAGATGATCAGGCTTTGGGGGAATTGGGGGTGGAACTTTTTTAGGTGGATTTGTTTCTTCCTCTACCGGGAAAATTTCTGGATTGTTAGTGGATGAGTCAGGAACTTGAAGCCTTGCTTGATAATTATCTGGCTCATCAATGTTCTCATCCTCATCAATCATATTTTTCTTTCGGAATGCTGTGTAAAGACTTTCGTATGATGCTTCATACCATTGAACTCTCTTATTATTTTTCCGGTCTCCAATTCTTTTTGGTTTCGATTTTAATCCCAATTCTCCTAACGCGCGACTAAATTCTTGTATAGTAGGGGGTTTTTTCCCTTGAATATGGGATTGTTCTATAAACCATCTTTTGAATGTATTATAAAGATATGAGGATGCTACATCGAGACCGGAACTTTCACATATATACTTATGCTTTATAAACTCATGAACTGCATTAAAATCCCTGGTTACCATCATTAACTTAGTTTTGGTCATAGGAATTTTACGCTCATTGAAATCTGGATTGAGTTTAACGTATTCTAATGCATAGGAGTAAAAGGCTTTACTGACTTCTGGATTTTTAATAGCTTTATCTAGTGGGCCATAATAATGATCCATTCCAATTCCATTTTCGACATACTTATCAGAGATATCCGGAATAAAATATCTTCAGTCATCTCTATCTAAACGGATTGTTTTACTATTATTACTACTGATGATTAAATTCGTAATATTAGTAACTTGATATCGTGTTCTATGTTTCTCTTCTATCATCAATGTGTCGCTATCAATGAAATCCTTAAGTCGATTTGCAAATGTTATCCAGTCTGTGGATTTGGAATTAGACATTTCTTCGAGAACAAGTAAGACCTTACCTTCTAGCTCTTTGTTAAATTGTCCAGTAATAACTCTCTCATCAGCAGTCTTCACAGTAATATTAAGACCAAGAACCATATGTCGAAGAAACCATGTAAGCATCGTTTTACCAGTTCCTGGACCTGAAAAGAGAAACATAGTTTTTTGCATCTTTCGACCAATGGCTATTCGCATAATTAATCCCATCATGTAAAGCTCTTGTTCCTTATTGGAAGAGCAAAGAACTTCTCGCATATGATTAAGGACCAGCTTTACCTGATCGCGAATTTCCTTGCTAAATTGCTTGAATGGAGGCGGGTTAGGATGCAGAAATCCTTGAAATAAATTAATGTAGTATGCCCCATTTGGCTCTCGGTAAACTTTAGGCTGGGTGGGATTAACTTCAAGAGAGAAGAATGGTGTATCTCTAAAGAACCATGATGTAACACTAAAATTCTCTATGTCTCCTTTGGCATTTTTGATTCGTGTGTGATCAGATTGAATGAAAGAATCACATGCATCCTTTCTACTGTAATACTTGAAGCACTGCTTTTTAGGTATCCATTTATAAACACCTACATCTCCACGTGCAAAATAGCTACATAAATACCTCATAGCAGGATGGAGTTCTTTACGAGATTTAGCTGAATAAAAGAGCCTTCTGAATTCCCGGCTATCAAATTCTTGAGTAGGAGTACCTAATGGAAATTTTGGTTGAGTTTGTGTACTCATTTTTTTCGTTCTGTTACTTTTACCACAGATATGTTCAATTGCTTGGTCAAGTATCTACTGAGATATTTATAGTACCTGTTTATTC